GCAGTGGCCTCCTAGCTGGCCACCTGCTTCCCCTCTTATTCCCTATGATCAGTTCTCCACATAGCAGGCAACATGACCTTTTAAAAATGAAATCAGATCTTATCAATCTCTTATGTAGGACTCCTGTTTACTATTGTATTTAGAAAAGATTCCAAACACCTTGTTGTGGTTGTTAGTTGCTGTGGAGTTGGCCTGGCCTAAAAGATTCTCTGTGATCTGGCCCTTGCCTGCTTTCCTGACCTCATCACCACACCACGCTTCCCTCACTCACTAGGCTTCAGCCATGCTGTTTTCTTTCTGGTTCATTGAATACAACCAGTCTTTCCTGCTTTGGGGCCTTTTTATTGCCACTGCCTCTGTCCGGATTGTTCTCTTCCTTGAGTGGTTCCTTCTCAGCTTCAAGGCCTCAGGTTACCTCTTCAAAGACACTTTCTTTAACAAACGTAGACTCCTACTCCTATACCACACTCTTTAGAGCATCATCCTTATTATCTGGAATTATTTATTTATTTATTTTATTGTGCTTTAAGTGAAAGTTTACAGAGCAAATTAGTTTCTCATTAAACAGTTAATACACAAATTGTTTTCTGACTTTGATTGCCCACCCGGTGATGTATAGCACTCTTACCTTCTCTGCCCCGGGTTCCCTGTTTCCATTTGTCACTTTTCCTGTCCCTTTTTGCCTTCTTGTCTTTGCTTTTGGGCTGGTGTGTCCATTAGTCTCCTATGCGTGAACTGAACTACGAAGCACGTTCCTCATGTGTGTTACTGTTGGTCCTATGGACCTGTCTAATCTTTGGCTGAATGGTGAACCTCAGGAGTGACTTCAGAACAGAATTAAAGGGTGTCCGGGGGCTATACTCTCAGGGTTTCTCCAGTCTGTCAGGTCTCTTTTTGTGTGTGTATGTGTGAATTTGAATTTTGTTCTACGTTTTTTTCCCGCTCTGTCCGGGACCCTCTATTGTGATCCCTGCCAGAGCAGCCAGTAGTGGTAAGCGGGCACCATCTAGTTGTTCTGGGCTCAGTCTGGTGGAGGTTATGGTAGTTGTGGTCCATTAGTACTTTGGACTAATCTTTCCCTTGTGTCTTTGGTCTTCTTCATTCTCCTTTGCTCCAGCTGGGATGGGACCAGTAAATGTGTCTTAGATGGCTGCTCGCAGGCTTTTAAGACCCCAGTCGCTACTCACCACAGTTGGATGTAGAATATTTTCTTCACAGACTGTGTTATGCTAGTTGAGCTAGATGTCCCCTGAGACCATGGTCCCCAGCCCTCAGCCCAGTAGCTGAATGTCTCAGGGCATTTGGATGTGTCTGTGAAACTTCTATGACTTTGCCCTGGTCAACTTGTGCTGACTTCCGCAGTATTGTGTACTGTCTTACCTTTCACCTCAGTTATCACTTATCTTGTTAGTGTTTTTCCCCTCCTCACCTCTCCCCTCTCTCCTGACCATCAAAGATTGTTTCTTTCTGTGTGGAAACATTTTCATGTGTTTTTATAATGGTGGTCTCATACAGTATTTGTCCTTTTGTGATTAATTTATTTCACTCAGCCTAGTGCCCTCCAGATTCATCCATGTTGTGTGGAATTATTTGTTGTTTGCTTACTTGTGCACTTCTCTGTCTTCCCATACTAGAATATAAGTTCCATGAGAATACGAAACTTATATTCATTCATGACTTTATCCCCAGTTCCTGGAGCAGTGCTTGGCACATGTAGTTGTGCTCAGTAAATGTTTATTAATACTGAATGAATGCTTTTTAAAGGAGATATAAGAGGAGCTCCCTTCCTTTTTTCTGTCTCTCTCTCTCTATATGTGTATATAATTCTTCAAGTGTCTAAATGTGAATATCCTCCTAGGCCCTTTATACTTAATACGAACCAGTGACTTTGTGGCTGATTTTCATCTTTTACTTCATGAAGTCCTGGCCCACAGTTTTTTATTTTATTTAATTTTTTTAATTTTTATTATACTTCAGGTGAAGGCTTATAGAACAAATAGTTTCTCATGAAACAGTAGTATACATATTGTTTTATGACATTGGTCAACAACCCCAAACATGTCAACCCTCTACCTTCTCAACCTTTTTTTTTGGTGAAAATACACATAGCCAAAGATACACCATTTCAAAAATGTCTACATGCACAGTTCAGTGACATTGACTATGCTCTTCCAATTGTGCAGTTATTCTTACTTAAGACGAAGGTTTACAGAACAAAATAGTTTCACATTTAACAGTTACTACACATGTTGCCCTATGACAATGGTTAACAATCTCACAACACATCAACAATATCTTTACTCAACCTTGGGTTCCCTATCA